TTCCTTTGTTTTTCCTTGAAGCCGTTTCACTTCTCATCCAACACGACACGGTCCTTTCAGCAGTTCCACAAAGATTCCACGTCCATTTGCACTATTCAGATGACCCTGAGAGCACAGATATGCCTCTAAGGGGCCTCAATGATCCTCAGAAAGAGTGCTAATAACCAGAAGACTGCAAAGAATATAAACCGTTCCATCGTCCCCCCTTCAGTCAGAACTGAAGGAGCTTCTTGGATGAGAAGCGAAACGTCTTCAAGAAAAAAAAACAAAGGAAGTCCAGTTGCCTCTTGAAAAAGCATCTTTGGGAGAAGCCTGACCTGGATGACGGAGAATCTCCATAGACAGTCCTGAGGGAAGTCAGCTCCCCAGAGAAGGAAATATTAAAAAGGCAGAAAAATATATTTCCTTCAAGGATCTTAAAGAGACAGAAAAGCATGCCCACTTTTCCTTGATAGCCCCAAATTCTCTCTGTCCCAAGCAGGAGCCAGCCCTATACAAATGCAGATGTAACCATCAGAAAGTTGGAGCCAGAAACTCAAGAAGACAAAGAGACCTAAAATCTGCATACCCCACCCAAACTCTAGGAGCCATTAGCCCCTTCACCAGGGAAGCAGGATATGATAATAGGATTAAACCACAGATACCAAGGCCCAGAAAAGCACACTCAGACTCAGTTCAAAGTTCATGCCACAGGAACAGGAAACTATTCCAAACAAAAGGTTTTCGGAGGATATTAAAAACCTACTCCACGTGTGCTCAGCCCTTGATTTCTCTCCTCCTTCCTGCCAGAACCATCTTTCAGTCTGGCTCTTCAATTAATTGTAACCTTCTTCCCAAAGCAGTCGCCATGTTGTTTATTTATCCCCGGCTTGGATGAACCAGGATGAAGACTTTACTTCCAACAGTCCGAATCTCCTGCTTTCTAGCTTGATGCCTTAACCATGACACCAAAATGGCTTTCATTGCACCTATTCTGAATCGTATAACTCTATGTAACCCTGACTAGAGCATGTAGGTTTGTATGTTAGAATATCTGGCATTTATTGGATTAAGTGCTGTCTCCTTAAGAGATGGCTTATGGGAAATGTAGTTTTAGTTAGTCAGTCATCCCAGTGGGAGGAGTTTCTAAAGGGTATTGGGAGACTTCCTGGACACAAGCCAGATTGGAATGTCTTTGTCTAAAGAGAAGCATGGGCCATCGGATGTCACCCGATGATCCTGTTCTGCTATAAAGATGGCATGGAGAGAGCATTATCTTCTCACCTATGGGAATGAACAGAGATGTGTTTTCCAGAAGCTACCAGCATAAATGCAAGTAATCTCTCTAAATAAATATGTTTTTGTTACGAAATCATTTCTATTGAGTTTAACTACCTGACCCGGGTTTACAATGCAACTTAATTCTGGGTCAGAATAGCACCCTTTTGTAGGAAGAATCCAGAGAAAGAAATATTTTGGGAAATATTAAAAAGGCAGAATATATTTCCCCAAAGGAATAATGAAAAAGATTTTTTTTAAAAAAAAAAAGACAGAAACCAGCCCCCAGAAATCAGCCCAGCCCCTAGAAGCCAGCTTTTAGAAATGCAAATTCAATAATCCTTTCAGAAAGATTGGCGCTTTCCAGCTAGAAACTAAAGAAATTAGGCAGACAAAGACAACTAAAATCTACATACCCCCACCCAAATTCTAAAGACAGGAGACATAATAGGATTAACCCACCAATGCCAAAAGGGCACACTCAGACTCAGGTCAAAGTACACGACACAGGAAATACAAAGCCTCAAACAGGAACAGGAAACAACCTCAAGAGCCCCAGAAGGTATAAAAACCCACTCTCTACGTGTGCGCTCTCTCTCTTTTCTTCCAGAGCCATCTTTCTGTCTGGCTCTCCTTTTCAATAAACTACAACCTTCTTTCTAAAGCAGTCTTCATGTCGTTTATTCCCGGCTTGGACTGGACCCTGGTGAAGATTTTTCTTTCAACACTTTCAAAGCCACTAATGATACCAACTGTCCATTCAAGTCAAGCCACAGAAGAAATAAAAAGATTTCCACACATTTGGAGGCTCCAGATAAATTCACCCCCACGAGATGGGACGCTAACTTTGCTACAGAAGAAGTCAAACATCCAGCTGCTTTTTCCATGTTCCCGCTCTTTTACACACCTTTATCATGGAGGAAAAAATACAATAATAACTTTTAATGTAGAACGTCGTAAATGTTTTGAGTCTTACTCAATATTGCTGAGGGTCAGTAATAATGGGGATTTTTAATATAAAGCACCTGGAAAGTAACAGAGTATGAATCCACCTTAGTATCTCTCATATCTTTTATGTCCAGCAAACTTTAGTAAAAAAATATAATTGAAGACGAGATTGTTAAACAGTCCTTTCCTTGGAACAGAATTTAAAATTATTAACATATTAAATCAAAGGAGTCTGAATCGGGTTAAGTTACATAAAATCAACCAGTTCAGCGTGACTGATATTGTTTCTATAAGGCCTGGAGGGTAGCCATGATCATTATAAATACTTTAAATTTCAATAGATATTGGGCCCATTATTCTAAAAACCCATCTCCATGATTCATGAGGACTACGGCCTTGCTAAGTCACAATAAATCAGACTGTTTACTGTCCGTGCCATTATTCCTCAGCCATTTTGGGGTTGCAACTCGCTGGAGGACACCAATAAGGAGTTCTGGAGAAACATGAAGCAACAACTTTTCAAGAACATAAATATAGGTAAAATAAGTGTTTCTCAACCTTGACAATTTTAAGGCATGTGGACTTCAACTCCCAGAATTCCACAGCCAGCATTGCTGGCTGTGGAATTCTGGGAGTTGAAGTCCACATGCCTTAAAATTGTCAAGGTTGAGAAACACTGCGAAATGATGTTAAATCCGTGCCACGTTGGGATAACAAAACTTTTCTCCAACAGGCAAAAGGATAAACAATTTCACACAAACACACACACACACACACACACACCCTCAAACAAATATCAAGGTCAATAGAAAGAAAATTAATTTGATTAGCCCCCCCCTCTCCGAGTTAGCAAGATGGGAGATTTGCTCCTGACTCACCAAAACTCACATTTCTTTTTAAAGCGGAGAGCCATAAAACTATTTTTAATAACACATCTGGGCTTTGCAACTCAAGTTTGTGACATTCACAGAGGAAGTGGCCTAATTTCTATCGGGTGTTCGGTCCAGCCTTTTTCAACCTAGGCCAGCTGAGGCTTCTGGGAGCCCTAGGCTCAAATTCTCTGGAGGGCCCCGGGGTGGAAAAACAGGCAGGAGCCGACGGAGCAGATGCAAATAAGTCCTTCGTGTCCCAGTTTTGCCCCATCTTCTATATAATGTACACCCTTGACATCATTCAGGGCTTTACGGGAAAGTCAATATATTTCAGCATTGGTTGGGCTGCAACATTTTATAGCAGTTGTGGATCCAATTAGCTTCCTTCCTTCCTTCCTTCCTTCCTTCCTTCCTTCCTTCCTTCTTC